TGCACATAGTTATTGAGTGTTTCCACTTATCGTGATCACACTGTATATGTCGCACAACATTGGGTAAAAAATTATCTATAAACCAAATTTCAGAACAACAAGTGTGAAAAATTTGACTTCTGAGGAGCATAAAATTGCTCTTTTTTTCAATTTTAATGTATGTATTTTCTGATTTGTGTTGTTTAATTTTGATTGTTCAGTATTTATTATCCTTGCAGATTTTCATTTGTCAGGTAAATTAATCTTTTATTCAGCTCGATGAGACAATTATATTTTATTTCGTAAACAGATAAGCATGTTGATGTTTTTTAAATATATTAGATACCAACTACCAAGTTATCATTTTACTCATATACGAGTATTTAAAGTTTACATGAGCGTAAACTCAATACTCTTCAAATTGGATCCGTCCAAAAGTTGTGGATCCACTTATCTAAACTTTAAGATGTGGTTTTTAATAAAACATTATTTAATCGACAACTGGTATTAATAATTAATTAATCAAACTATCAAAGCCTTTGTAATCAACGCCTTGAAGAGCATAGGAGTTATTTTTAGTCTACGTCGCTATATTACTCCCCCACAACTAAAATTTGACAGTGAAAATATACCCTGGCAACCGACGGTTAAATATCTCGGTGTAACTCTTGACAAACGACTMACGTGGCGGCCCCATATTTCATCCAAAGTCCAGCAAGCTTACCAGCGCATCTCAATGCTTTATATCCCATCTTGAACAAAAATTTAACTATACAAAAAAAATGCTCTCTCCTAATTTATAAACAAATTATACGCCAATTTCTTACCTACGCTTGCCCGGTATGGGGTAATTGTGCATCCTCGCACATCAAAAAAATGAAAATTGTCCAAAACAAAGTCCTCAGAATAATTGCAAATGCTCCATGGTTTGTCAGAAATGCAAATCTCCACAAAGACTTTCAAATCCAAGATATCCAATTTCATATTAATACATTAGCAAAAAATTTCCACTACTCTCTTCCAAACTCATCAGGTGCAATTCACTATAACCTCCTCACTCACCCAACTCATCGTCGATTAAAACGAGGTCGTCCTCACGACCTCCTACACTAAGCCACCTCTCAACATCCAAATCTTCTCCCTACACATGTGTTTCTTCCAGATCACTCTTCGACTCCAGTTACTTAAAGTTACACTATTGTAAATATATAAATTTCAGAATATTATTGTAGTCTTAAAATTACCAATTGTTAATTATCCTTAGTACTTTAAAAATTGAGCTAGCTGTAATGTCAAAGTATCTAGTCAAACAAAACCTTTTGTGGCCTGATGATAATTTAATTATACAATATAGTAAACGCGCTCGACATCCTCAAAAATGCATTTTATCCGTATACAAAATTATCGCTGAACCTATACGGTTATTGTTATTATACGATGTAAGACACATGCTTTTATAACATACAATATGTAGTATTGTCGTTATGCATTTCCGTCTTCATAATAATAATAATATATTATGATTTTGTGTGTCTAATATATAAAATTATAACGTGGGTTAAAAGACTCGAAATTTTCCCTACCGGTCGTAACACAACACGTACCATTATAATATACGTTCCAACTATATTACGCACTTCATTAATATAAACAAGTGTTTTTCGTATGAAAAAATCATAGACTTTTGATTAAAACTGCCCGCAAGACAGTGTGCGGATTACATAATGTATGTATAATATATTATATAGGTACGTATATAATATTATATGTAGGTATGTTGTACGTGTATTATGTATATAATATAATAATATTATCATGTTCGTCGCAATTGAAGGAAGTCATTACGCTGAAAAGAGAAAAAGCTTGCGCAACGCTCGGGATACCCGGACAAACCATTGTACAACATTTCGGAATAAATTACCCATAACTGCGATATACACGCGTATTACGGGGACATAATAATAGTATTTTTTATGTTTTTTTTTCTTCCTATCGTGAATCATAAAAAATATTCTCGAATAATATAATAATAATGGGGGCTTAAATATTATACGAAACGTTTTTGTGTGAAAACGCATTCATATTTTTTTTATTATTATTATTATCGTGTACACGCGCGTATATTATAGTATACGAGTCGTGGAATATTTTTTAAGCGATTTTTTTTTTTGATCCCACGAACTAATTGTTATTCTAATGTGAGCGCAAACACACATTACAATAATAATAATCCTAAAACAGTATATTATATACACATGCACTTCGAAATTCGTGTAATCAATATTCATCGTCACTATCACGCTAGATACTAGAACTAAATTATATTATATATTTTACTGTGTTATACACGTTTTGTAACATTGTTTTATTGTATTCGTATATAATATTTCTTTGTTTTAGAATTGTGATGAAACAAATGCTTATAGTCTATTTTTATTAAGTATTTAGTTATCAAGCAATAAACACAAAACACAGTTCTTAAGTCATCATTAAATTTTGTACATTGTTCATTTCATGATGAAGGGAACCATATTATATGTTAAACTTATCAAATATCAAATACAAAATTACATTTTTATCTTATCGCTAAATTTCAAAATGTTGTTCTAACTTTCAAACTGAAATTACTTTTTTTAATGATAAATAGTGAAAAGTACACATTTATTTGTAAAAATCTAACCAATAAATAGAAGTATTCTAAGAAAAATACTACAATGTTGAAGTTTATTTATACGATTTACGAATTTTAAAATTTCAATTAAAATGTATTTAAAAGTAATACGAGTAAATATTTAATGAGATTCAACAAAATTATTTCATTAGAGTTTTGTACACATATACCGATTATATCGATACGATTGACTGTATACTTTGCATAATATGATATATTATAAGACATTACAGATAGGATCACAACATAATTTATAATTGAGATCAACAGTTAGATTTAACGTCTATTTAAGTAATTATAAAACTGACAATTGCATTCGATTAAAATAAAAAAAAAATATCCATCTCTGTAAGACAAGTGAGCCAAATGATCGTACGACTACTATTTACCTACAAAATAATTACTATGCATATAATATTAAGATATAATAGCTATGTCCAAAACGTGATTTAAATACATGAGAAGGATTTACTGATTAAATTTTTTTAAAAACGATTGCTTTTATCAAAATTCGATTACATTAAGTAAACACCTTAAAACGATTTAACCACTTATTTGAATCGCACGAGTTCCGAATAATCGAGATTTTATTTTTCTTATTATCTTCTCAAAAGTACTGCCTATAATTCGAAAAAGAATATTGAGTTTGAAATTTAATAGCAAAGTTCAATTTTCTGCATTATATGTGTATCAAAGAAACTGCTTAATTATAATATTGTTAACAAATTCTGTTTGAAGCTTTCTGAACAGAAAATGGCACCACCTTTGACACATTTTATGAAAAAAATTTAAACTTTTACCATAATCATTTCCTAATACGAATTACTATATAAAAATTGATTTATTCATCTCGAGGCTCAACTATTCGTTTACGTATCTTTCTGCTCTGCTTAGTTTTGGTTATTTTTTTCGTAAATTATAAATAATTTTTTTCTACTAGTTTATGTTAATTGATATTTAAGTTGGTTTATCGTTAACCGTTGGTTCGTAATATTTTTTGAAATTTCATAATCCGAAACTACAAAAGGTTTGCTTTAGGTACTTGAAGTATTTCGTTTTCGTAAGTTTTCGTTCTGTGTGAATTATGACTGTTTTGCACCCTAATCTTCGCTTATACTTGTATATAAAGTAGCTGATTTTGATTATATGCGTTATATATTTTCACATAAGTGCACAGACTTTTTTTATTAACTTCATCCCACAAGAGTCATAAAACGATTAACGACTTTTTTTTTGAAAATCACGATGACGAGTGATAATTTAACTTTTTTTATTTTACTATATATTTCACCATATAATACATTATCAAGATATTTAAACGGCGATGAAATGTGTTAACAATAACGAAAATGTGACAATATTGTGAAATCGATTACATTAAAAAAAATAATAACTATGAAAATATATATTGAATTGTGATTTTGTTACAGGTGACGAATTCGACGAAATACGCAAAGACGACGGCTTGGATTACAACCGAAGATGACGGGTTGTTGACCAGCAAATCACGTCTGGAGCTGACGACCCATGCTGCGTACTTCCCGGGTGGCCGTATGACGGTCCGCTGCGAGTCCAATCAATTTCTGTTGTACAAAAAGTACTCAGTTATTGAGCTGATGGATGACTCACCCAGACTGGCCCAGATGATCAGCCCCACTACTGTGCTGAGATCGGGTAAGTGATATACACTTAACCACTACACAATCTGAGTGCTGAAATTCTGTTGTATTGGTTGTCGATAATCAAATACTAGTTTTTAAATCAAATCCTTAAATGAATACGCTAAATTAGATGTATTGCATAGGCAGCGTTAATCGTCATGATAATAATATACTGATACCAACGATTTGAATTCTAATAATTGACACGAATCGAATATTTGATATGGACGTATACATTTTTAAAACATATTTATGGGATAAAATACACATCGAGTTTGGTGTTCATAAACCTGTGGTCCATAGATCTTGTAGTCTTCAGTCGAGTTATATGGGATTTTTGGTGTGGTTCTGATTTTTAGATTCTGAGCCGCGCGAGAAATGTATTGTTTTTACCATGATGTGTTTTCTTTCTTGTGTGTCTGTCATCATTTTTTGGGACAGTAAAAATGCTTCAATTTTCGACTTCAGTACCTTGTTAGATCAGAAAGTGAATCTAGGTGGTACTTGGTAGGGGGGGGGGGTAAAAACTAAAAAGTGTTTAGTATTAAAACTATTTTTCTAAATAACCGAGATAAACAAACTAAAAATTAAGGAAAAAACAGGAATTTTTTACGCACAATCGTCAATCAGTTTTTGACAAAATCAATTTTGTTTTTTTGATGTAACTTCAAAAAAAATGACCATAGATACATGAAATTTTCACCAAATGTTTAAAAAAGTATTTTCTATATTTAATAAAATTTAAAAAATATTTTGATAAGTTTTGATTTGTATAATGACAATTCAATTTTTCCACTTTTTTAATTTTTTAGATTCTGAGCGAAGCGATGAATGTATTGATTTTACCATGATAAGTGTTTTTTTTGTGTCTGTCATCACGTTTTGGGGCAGTAAAAATGCTTCGATTTTTGACTTCAGTATCTCGTTCGATCAGAAAGTGAATCTAGTTGGTACTTTGGGGGGTCAAAAGTAAAAAATT